TTTCGTACGAATTGACATTCTTGACCACGGGCGTGTTGACGTGGGCACCTACACCGCCGATGCCTCTGCTGTCGCATGTTCCAAGAAGCATTTATTTTCCAGTTTTAAAAATGTGGTGCAACCGGTGGTGCATTATCGTCTCGGTCAGTCTGATGACGTCGTACTTGATCCTTCTGGATTGCAGGATCAGATCTTCGATGCACGCTTCCGATGCAAGCGTTCGTACATTGAAAGTAAAGATCGCCATCTTGGTCCTTCTTTTTTTGAGCAGCCTGTTTTGGCCCTTAAGTTCTAGCAGCTTCTCCCGAGCGGTCCTACCCAAAGCTGCCCTATTGGGGGTTCCCTCATGTTCAGGATAATGAGGCTCATTTTTACTACTGTTTGTGGAATATGAAAATCCACGTGTAGATTGTCGGGCTCTAGCACGTGGAGGAGGGGGCACCCTTGGCCATGTGGGCATGCAGACGTGTCGTTAAATTTTTAATACATGTATATACATTTACTTGTATAAATATTATTGAAAGGAAAGCTTAATCGCAAAATTCTACAGAACAGTAGAAAAACGTTAACGAGAGTTTTTGGACCATGCAAGCCGACATCTGATGGTAAAGACGAAAGCATGTGGCAGGACAACAGGTTGTCTCCCTGGGCTATAAACCACATACGAATTCAAATCGTCACTACGAAGCTGAACGGAGATCCAGTAAGAGAACGGATTCCGAAGGCGGGATTATAGTAACTTTAAGAATGACCCTTCATAAAGTCAATATTGCAGTATCAAAATGACACATCCCAAAGCGGTAAAAACTTTGTGCTGGTGTTGACAATTCAGTTCCAAACAAATGCGAAACAACTGGAGGAACTATGTAGTGAGTTGCTGAAATATAAGTGCTAGCCATGTTCATTTTAAAGTGGAAAAAATAAACTGAAAATGGAAGAAAACTTCGAAGTGTAGTGAAAACGTAAACGTTCTTCTAGTGTTGATCAACCCCATTCTAAGATACTGCAGGCGTTCGGCTTCCATTATGTACCGTATATGTAGGCAGTGACTAGCAGTGATAGCCGGTAACAATTAACTGATCGACTTGACAACTGGGTGAGTATCATTCTAGATCTCGAACTCTGACTATGCGTATGTGGTAGTTCTTCATTTGATACTTCATTAGTGCAGCTTCCGGCAGCCTCATCCGGCCTCATCTACCAATGTCCTAGAGGCACGATTCGCTAATTATTCACATTAATGTGCTGGTGTGGGTGTGTGAGTGCACGTGTCTTGAGTGGTGTTAGGGTGTGTGTGTACGTGTGTAGTTTGTCGAACTGGGCCTCGATAGTTGATAGTATGCTTGTTGTGAATAGGACCTAGATCATGAGTGAATTGCCAAAAACAAAGGTGATGATATGTCCGTAAGAAGAGCTGCTGGGTCTCCTACGTTCGTAACTGTAACGTAAGCACTTAGGCTGAGAGCTGGAGAGGTTACGGTAGAGCAAAGCCGGGGCTGTGTGTAGATATGGTGTCGTATTCAAGCCAGTTTTCCTAATGAATGATATTGCCATGCTTTTTTTGCAGTGTTTCTTATTGTAGTTTTTGTATTATTGTTAGTATTGCATTGTTCTTGTATTATTACTCCTTCCTCAAAACTGCAAACGAGAAAAGCAAACAAGAAATGTGAGAACCAAATAAATATTTAACAAGATTTAGGCCAGCTACAACTAAGCACATGAGTGCGGGTTACGGTATTGCGGTCGCATAGCGAATTTTGCAGATGCCGCCAGCTTTTTAGGTGGCACCCTAGATCTGCCCCCTTCCTCCATTCGTCTATACCTCCTCTCGCTCCCCCCTATCGCCTGAGTTGAGTGCAGCTCACGCCATATCGGTGTTCCCATCCTGTAACTTTTACTCCTACAAACCACCTGTTAAAGGCACAATTCACGATAATTTTGAGGGACCCCTTTTAAGTCGGAAAGCGGTAGTATTGGGTATTGATTGGGAATAGTGGTGGTGTAGGAAGCGAGGAGATCCGTCGATTTTCTAAAAAATAAGGCTTTTCGAAATTAGTGAAAATTGGGGTTGTAGAGATCACCATGCAAGGAAGCTAGCAAGAAGTATTCGAACGAAATTTCATTTGCTGCACTTGCGCGAAGAACCGATTACATCGAGCCGGAACTGTACAGAACTGCCTTTCACTGTCGTGACTGGTCATGAGAAGATGCTTAAAGTTCCTACATGGGTACCTTTGTGATCGGTGCAGCCTCTACAGTTTCGGTGTAACTCGCCCGAGGATAACACGGTACAATCTTTGAACCTTTATACCTCCCTAACTAGGCCGTTTTCAGACGTTATCAGACGCCATGTATGTGATACGAGAGGGGCTCGAATCCATTCTTCATTCTATGGGGGAATCTCAGAAACTTTTTTACCGTGAACTGTGCCTCTGAACTAAACCCTCCAGTTAAAAGATAACAACTAGAAAATAGTATGCTTGAGAGACCGTTAGCGGTGGTCCAATGCATCTCGCTGTACTGCGGAAGCCTGTTGACTTAACCGATTCCATTGGTGGTTACCATATCCATTCAGAATCACAGCAGCGTGCGTGGCCTACAAGATAATCAGTGGTTCTACCGATTAGTTCAGGTCCCGAATATGTGCGATAGTGCGCTATTTGTCACTGCATGATCCTCGCTCTAAGTAGCCCCATAGAAAATGGAATTTTATTAAGTCACAGACACAGACATCGAACACATTTTTTATTGACGAGCGCAGTATGACGTTAATGGTAGAGTATACAGAGTCACAATGTAAGTATAGAAGAGCAACATTCACGAAAGGCTGGGCATTTTTTTAATCTTACTTGGAAATACGGAAGTTCACTCTCAAATGACTTCTGTGAAGCTGCCTTGGGTTCTGAAGGATTACAATCGGCTAAACACGCTACAGTTGGCAAGCAAATAGAGCAGGCTTTACAAAGCACTCGACGTTTCCAATTCTCAATGCCTGGGCTCAGATGAAGAAATGCCTGGGCTTCTTCGTGACGTACACAAAGCGACGTCGAGTGGTCGTCGAAACTGTTGTCTCTTCATAATCGTCATTGAGACCGGGAGGTTCATTTGAGGGCGCCAGATTAAATGACGGTCGTGAGCCAAACTGAGGCGGAAGGTCAACCTGAACAGTATTACATACCTCCTACACCTCCACGCTGATAGACAAGAATTTTTCCATTAGAAAGGAGGAATTTTCACTGGGATTGGGAAATGATATTTACGTTATTGTCTTCCCGATCGAAGTCTGATTCTGTTGTCCTTCTAGGAGTTGTTGTTGTTGTTGGTGGTGGTGGCGCTGTTAGTTTTGGTGTTGAACCTAAAAACTCATAAAAGCTTTCAAGAGATTCTTTATCCTGATAGTGTTTGAGAACATACTTGTTGGTATTGTTTTTGAAGGAGCAGGAGGCTCTGGGATCTTTCTTGTTCCGATGACGGTTCCCGGCGCTCTAGTCTTTGTTTCCCGTAATCTGTAACTGCTTCGATATTAGAAACCGTCAGGTACTTTGAAGTACTCTCTAAGATGATTTCTGCAGTATGATTGAGAGAGAAGGTTAAGAGCAAGCTGTGAAAAAGCAGGAGGAGCTGGCAGGGACTTGGCTGCAGTTAGAAGTAAAAACAACATCAGAGTAGATATTTATGCAGAGGGAACATGCCTGGGCAGCGGTCCAGCACGAAAGCCAACATGGGCCACGCAATGAAGTCCTGTTTTAATACACAGACGAAGTGTTGGGGCTGCTTTTTTTCCTCTGCTATCGTGTGTGGTCGGGCAATATGTACTAGATCGAGGGGAAGCCCACGGTGTCTGCAGTAAGAGCGGGCAGATGGTGAATAGTTATGGGAGCCAGCTCTTCCCTGCTAGGATGAAGACTTCGCTTGACACGGTGCAATGAATCCTTGTTGAAGAGCTATCATCTAATAAAAAAGGGTTTGGGCCTAATATCTCAAAGCAAGCGACCTCTACGAAGAGGCTCTGAAAACAGATGGAGAGAAGTTTTCAAAAAGGGCGCATTGAAGCCAAGGCGTATACAGAAGATAGCCTTTGACTGAAGAGAAATTAACAAGAATATTGTTCTACGGCGGCTTATTGTCAAGAATTCCAGTTCATATAACCAACTTCCGAAAGTTATGACATCGATAGCTTTGGAAAAGGTCTCAGAAACTGAATGACTCCTAATAAGCATTCTCTTCTTCAGAACGTTATACTTCGGGAGATACATTAAGTTGTTATTCTCGGTTTTGTTCACCTTTCTCCAGGTGGTCCGACGTCGTTATGGGCTGGAGGAGCTGCTTCCGCTGGTCTCGCTGGGCCCGCGGGACGACCTACTTCTGTTGATCCTGGACTTTCATGGAGATGAACAGCAGCACTAAAAATGATTCAATAAATCTAGAACAACTCAAACAACAAATTCTTTAGCAATTCCGCGACGGTGCTCAATAACATAACAACACTGAAATGGCAAAAAGGTACTTGGCTTCTAGTTTTACACTATTTGCCTGTATCTTGCCTGTCTAAGGGACGATACTACCAAATTAATGAGCCTCAAATATACTTTATCCCATGGTGAGCGATTTGTAGAGCATCATCATCCTCGGAGGACCTCTCCTTCATGTGTGGCTTCGGCGATGGTGACGGTTTTTCTGCGGGCTTAACCACTGGAAGCTTCGAGTTCAGCGGGACAGACTTCTTCTGAAAATTCATTATTTAAAACGAATCATAACTGATAACTCGTATAGTTCAAATGAAGAATGAATTGCAATCTACGTCTTTTCCTATCATAAAACGGAAGTATTGCATTCATATAGATATTCAACGCCTTTGTGCCCTCAAAGACATAATGGCAACCCAACATAGGAGAAGGCTCCTATATTCGGTTGAAAATGATAAGACCGATTCCGCAATCACTGAGTTTTTGCTGACGTTCGGAGACAATGAAGCAAGTGAGGCTGCGCGAAGACTTCACAACTCATTCCAATCCTCATAGGCTTGGGTTAGGGGTATGTATAGT